GAAGAGTGAATACTAGATCTGGGTCAACAAGAGCTATAATGTCCGATGTGAGAAAAGAAACCAGCTTATAAAACAATAGAAACACAAACACAGACAAAGGAAACAAATTATATGAGGCTCCTGTGACTAAATGTTTAGCATTGTGCAATACAAAGAATAAGGACAATGATAGATTATAAAATGTAAAACAAAATAATTGCTCATAGACTTTGATGATGCTAGTAATAATAGGTAAGCAATCACAAGGGAAAGAGACATTGTACCTTATTGTAGAATTACAGTCAATGTGTGTAGAATGAATAATGGCAATATTGAGTCTGTTTGGGAAATAGAGCAGTAGTAAATGTCAGAGGTATGACTCACAGATGATTCTAGCATAATGGATAGGAATGTGCTGAAAAACTTTTGTTGGTTTCAGAGTATCACTCCACAAAGGGGGGGATTAACATCTTTATTCAAGGACATTGAAGGACTCAATACTTAAGCATTTTAGAAACACTAATATCACAAGCAATAAGTAAGTCCAGGAGAGAACATTGCCACATTCTCAAGAAGTGTGGTAAAATACTGTTGTATTCTAGGCAAAGGGATTAACACGACTGTTATAAAACATTTAGCAAAATTCAAACTCAAGGGTGCTCAACTGTTCTGTGCTCTTTCTCTCTCTTTAAATTAAGATATAATTACATAATTTTCTTTTTTTCCTTTCTTCCCTCCAATCGTTCATTTGTACTATGAATTCCTTTCAACTTAAATCATGAATGTGATATCTCCATCAAATCCTTCTTATTATGGCTCACAGAACTGTGCAGAAGAGGAGGTGGGAAGAATGTAAAACTAAAGTAAATGGAATACACAAAGGAATAAAGATCTTCTAGACACAACAGGGTTAGCAAAAATATGAACTCAGAGAGACTATGGAAGTATGCTAAGAGCCAAAACAGGTCTGCACCAAATGGGTTCTTAGGCCTAAAACAAGAAGGGGACATATGGCTCCTTCCATAACCCAAAAGCACTCCCTTGCAGTTAGCCACTTGCGAATGAAAAACTCATTTTCTCTAAACTAACCCAGTTTAGTCTCACTGGGGAAACAAACCACTGATAAGGGAAGGCCCAATAGTCAGCAGTAGGCAGCCAACACAAAATGAACTCAAAGGTATCTTTTGAGGTTCTTTGTCTCATAATGTTAAGCCAAGGCTTCTTCTTTTAGTTCCATTACAGGCATTCGCATATATGTTATAGCTTCTGGTTTGCTATTTATGAGATTTCTGTGTGCCCAAATATGTGAGTCTCTGTCTATATTTGCTTTTTCTCTGGCTTCTTTCTTGCTTGGTTGTTTTGCCATAATCTGATTTGTTCATTTTGACATTCTGATTTATTCATTTTGATTTGTCTTATTGTAATTTATTTTAGCATTATTCCTCAGACTCAGGATTTCTAACAAGACACAGAAAGAGTGCAAGTGAAGAATCACATGGAAAATGAGGGGTGGAGGAATTGGGAAGGAGAGGGGGAAATTCAAAATCAGAGTGTATTGTATGGAAAAATATTTTCAGTAAAAGGAAAAAAGAAATCTTTAATGATTCTTTTCCCTAATTTTATTATTAAATTATATATAAAAACATATGTTGATGTATATTCGTGCCTGATTATATACATACTCATATATATACTCATATATATATATATTCTGCTTAGAATAATTTAGTCTTAACTTGCATAACAATACATATGTATACATGTATGCTGTATCTTTTGCATGTGTGCATGTGTGTGTGTCTGTGTATTGTGTTTGCATGTGATTTCGGAGCTGACTACTTAGTCTTTAAAAACCAGAGAAAACTATTTGTTTTTCTCTATTAAATTATTAAGGTCATATAAACACAAATGTTGCATGATTCACGAGAGGCATAAAATTAAAAGATCTGACAATTAATTACTGGTGTTAATATAGAAAATTGGTTAAGGCAAAACTAGATTCTATGACATAAAAACAAATTTAAAAAGGTATTTAAGACTGTTTGATATGTAAAGGAACAGATTTTTAGCAAAAGGAATGACAAAGGAAAATGCTACAATCCTGGTAATATCCCCAAAGCGAAGGTCTATGGAAGCTGACTGTGACATCCTAATTCCTGCAGCCAATGAGAAGCAGTTGACCAAGTACAATGCACCCAAAGTCAAAGCAAAGATCATTGCCGAAGGAACCAATGAACCAACCATTCCCAGAAGCTGATAAGACCTTCCTGGAAAGGAACATCATGGTTATTCTGGATTTCTACTTAAGAGCTGGAGAAGTGACAATGTCTTGCTTTCAGTGGTTGAAGAATCTAAATAATGTCAGCTATGGCTGACTGAACTTCAAATAAGAAAGGGAATCTAACTACCCCTTGCTCATGTCTGTTCAAGAGAGAAAATATGGAAATCATGGTGGAACTATTCCTGTGGTCCCTACAGCAGAGTTCTAGGACAAGATATCCGGTGCTTCTGAGAAGGACATTGTGCACTCTGACTTGGCCAACACCATGGAGAGATCTGCCAGGTAAATTATGCACACAACCATGAAGTATAACCTGGGATTGGGCCTAAAATTAGCTGCCTATGTTAATGCCATCGAGAAAGTCTTCAATGTATACAACGAAGCTGGTGTGACCTTCACAAAGACAGGTCACCACTAACTTCTTTACCACCCACTTCCACTATAACTTCTGCGTCTGCAGATCTGTCAAAAGTTTACACACAACCACAGAAATCTGTTCTTGTGACTCATTAGGTAATGAACACTGTTCTCAGCAAGTCAGTCTGAATCAGCCCCTTAAGAGAGATTAGTTTAGAGGATCATGTTCAAGTTGATGTGTAAAAGTAGGAATCACATGAATCAGAAAGCCGGCTACTTTTTCTTTTTTTTATGTATTTTTTTAATTTTATTTTCCAGTTTAAATTTAGATAAAAAAACAAGGTTGCTTCACAAGTCAGTTCCAGGTCCCTCTCCCTTTCCCTCCCCTCCTCCCTTTCCCTCCCCCCAACCCCCCCCCCCGTTATCCCCTCATTACCCCAGGGCCTGCCGCCTGCCTCCTGGCTGTGCTGCCTTACTCTGGGCCTTTCCCAACAGGGTCAGTGCTATTGCCAGGGAAGGCGTTCAAGAGCACTCAGCCACTTCTGGACAGGTCTGGGAACTTGGACACATAAAAGAATATGTGTGGCCGGGCTGTGGTGACACATGCCTTTAATCCCAGCACTAGGGAGGCAGAGGCAGGCAGATCTCTGTGAGTTCGAGGCTGGGCTGGACCGAGAGCCTCCAAAACAATACAGAGAAACCCTGTTTCGTAAAAACCAAAAAAAGATAAAAAAAAAAGAATATGTGTGTGGCATCTTCCAAAGGTGGCATGGTCCTTAAATGAGTTATTACTATTTTACATCTGCAAAATAACTCAGTTTTTTAAGTTGCAAAAAAAGCTATTTGTCTTTTGTAAAAATAAATACAAAAGTATAATAAAAAGTTAAGATGGGTAACTTAAAATACAGCAAAAATAGGCAAAGTAAACCTGCAGACAAAATACATATTTCTTTTACAGAAACTAGAGTTTCATTCTGGTGACCCACGTCAAAATTGCCTGTATTTCCAACTCCAGGGTATCTGAACACTTTTCTACTCTATATTGAAGCATACAAGGCTACAATCAAAAGCACAGATATTTTTAATCAAAAAAATAAAAATTCATTTTAAGTTTGGTTAAAGCTGTTAAATGATTGAACTTTATTTGTAAGGGAGAGACCAAATTGACAAAATATGATCTATATCAGAAAGTATTTGAAGTTTCAATAGACTAAGGCTCCTTGATCTATGTGAAGAGAAAAAAACAGTCAGAGCATCTTAAAACTTTCCCATAGCCACCATCAGTCCTTCATACAAAGGAAATAGGAATAAGGGATGCTAAAGCAACCAAAAAAATTGAACTATTTACTACAGTCCTTCCAGGGCACTTTGAATGAAATTAATGATGTGAAGTATTCATTGTTGGGAAAACAATCACATTTTTATATTACTAAATTGAATGAAGAGTTATCTTACAATAAATAATGAAGGTTAATAATCAATTTTGAGTAATTATACAGAATTGATTTTCTTCCTGTAAGCTAAATACACATTATATAGAATTACTGTTCATAAAAACTTTAAACATGGCTAAATATATTCAGCAACATTTCTTTTTTATGATCAAATCAGCTTTATTCATTTTAGCATAATTTGTTTATTGAATAGTTGGGAATTTCTTATCATGCATCTTAATTCCACTCAGCTCACAGAACCTCCAAGTCCTCCTCTCACCCCTGCAGTGCCTCTGAGAAGAATACTAAAATAAAATCAACCCAAATAAAGCAAACAAACAATCAAAAACAAAAGACAACATTTTTTACATTACTTTACACCTTTAGATATGTTATTCCCAGGAAAATGTAAGTATGCAAATATTTCATTGATAACTGCAATCTTAACAAAATTTTAATTAAAATATTGTAGAGTTTTGTTTGTTTATTTGGCTTTGTTTTAAGTTACTGTGAGAAATTTAACACTGCTATTAAATGTGTATAAATTTGCAACAGACATAGAGATACAATATTGAACAAAGTTGATTGCCTCCAGTAATGTTGTTGTCACTACTTATAGTTCTATGCTAATTAAATATGTGCCACTGGCACAAAACTGGAAACGTTTATTCTTTTTTCAACACCATCACTTTTATGAGCTTCTTCTTAGTCTTCCAAGCAGTTTCCTCATAATTCTTTGATAACACATTACATTATCAATTGACAAACAACCACATTAAAAGTATTTGTTTTCTGTCTCCTCTCAAACTGTGAATTCCTCAAAGACATTGAACATTGTAGTCAAACATCCTCAACCATAAGAATCTGTGGCATGTATTGGGTAAGAGATATAATGATTGAAACAGCATCAGTGAAGTCATCAAAACTCCAGACTGATACATCAGACTTACCTCCTATGTCTGGACGGAGTTTGTTATCATAACCTTGAAGTAGTGAATTTAGAATTTGTGTGATATCTCCTTCATGAATTTTTGGTGCCAAGACCCATGTTTTATTCATAGTTAAATCTTCATCATCTTCATCATCTGCTTTATCAACACTAAACAATTCAAAGAGAACATTGCATAGTAAATATTTCATTAAAATCTGTTAATTTAAATTACGTAAGTTATTTAAAAATTATTCCAACATGTGGTAGTATGATCACAGAAAATCATATATCTATATAACTCAATGAACTTTTATTCAAAAATCATCACTCAGAACAGAGGTAGTGGATCTTCACATTCTGTTTCATACTTTCACTAACATATGTATCTTATGTATTTATCCACCACCAAATTCAAATACAAAAATTCCGAGACAGAATTAGAACTTGAAAATCAATTATCTTTATATCCTTTCTCCTAACTCATGCCCAGTACCTATGCTCAATCCTTACTCATGTTTTATGTTGCCATGATTTATTTGCAAATGCACAAGAAATGCACAGCTTTTCTTGTATATTGAATTGTGCTTATATATTTGTACATGGTCTTGTATATTTAATGTTGTATTGTCTTTTGAAATGAATAAAATTTTGGTATCCAATGGGTGAAACCACTGAAAGCAGCATAATCTTTAAAGGTGGGGTTTAGTTCAGCAAATTTAGGTACTTAGAATAGGATTTTGAAAGACATAGTGGGACATCATTCTCTTTGCCACCCTATCTTCTTGCTTCCAGACTTCCAGGAGGTAAGTTGTCTAATATTACCTTTAGCTTTCCTGACATGTGGCTTTCCCTACCCAACATAATGAGACAACAATGAGATGAAACCTCCAAAATCATGGGCTAAAATGAAACGTTTTTCCACATATATTGATTGCATTTGTTATTTTTCATAGTACATAAAACTGATTAATGCAATGTTAATATAATAAATCAAAGCTCCTCTCCTCAATAATTCTGATATTCTAATGAGATTTTTTTCTTTTCAATATTTGTTTGTTCTTTTTTATCCATGAATTATCAGTCCACTAGCTTCTTACTTGGCCACCCTTTCTGCAAAAGGATTTTACAAACCCTGGTCTCTAAAAGTCATATTTGACTCTTTAAAAGTTTTGAAAAATAAATTATTTATCACAGACAAACAGACATTTAATATTATATAAGTTTAACATGCCAGATGACCAGTTACATTTAAACCCATTCCATCTGTTCAGTCTGAGAACAAGGGTGTTATAGACAAGCCATCCCTGAACTATAGTGATCAATTAGGGTCAGTTTGTAAGCCACAGGTATTTTAGACTACTTAGTTACCACCACACTTTAACATTGTATTTTCCTTTTCTATTCATAAGAAAGTCTGTTTGACTTTAATTGCACATCTTAGGACATTACTAGTTACTCTTACTTCAGATTGACTTCCCTAAACTCTCATCATTTTCTCTCACTGATGACACATCAAGTAAGCAGGCAGCCAGAGCAAGCTCTTTGCCCTTTCTTTTTGTCTCATTTATATTATGATGATATTAAAAGAAATAGAATGTATTTTTTGCAAAACCTCAGGAAATATCCTTTCTGGAGTCACAAGGTAATTGCCAGGCCACAGTGCCATGCTTCTGCCGCATTATCTGTCTTCTATTACATTACTGACGGGAAACAGCTCTCAAGGAAGGTATTGACCCATAAAACATCAGTAGTTCTGAGATTCTGACACTTGCACTGCTTAGAAAAGACAATGAAACACTGTTTTCAATGTGGGAAAATTTTAAATGAAGATGAAAGCTTTCCACTACACTTCAAAGAATGTAATAGCTATTACAAAGAATGAAAGGATAAACGATCATACATATGTGGTTTTTAGATTTCATGTAAGTATTTTATTGCTTGGATTGTTTTAAAAGTATCTGGAACATTCTCCTCACTGAACCTAATATTATTTCCTTCAATATTTCTCATTTTTTCTCTAAAATAAATAAGCAGATATTTAGCAAACTAAAACAATAACAACACTGTAATTCTTGGAATCCAGGCTGGTGAGACATCTTGGAATATTAATATACCAAAAATTACTGTCTGAGGCATTATTAGTAAGCTATGTTTTAGACTTCCTTTCATCTGGGCTCTTTGCGTAGAAGAAATTCTTCGTTAATATGGAAGGGCCACTGAATATATAAGCAGTTGACCTTCTATTGAAACACGATTATAAAATATCACAATAAACTAAAGGATTTTCACTGTAGTTTGTATGGTAACAACATTTTGATAAAGAAAGAATAAACACTCATTGAGTTATATGCCCTTTCCCGAGGCAAAACTAAAAACAGACCTTGGTAATATTACATAGATATCTTTCCTGATTTTATCTCACAGCAGAAAGGAATTTCATTAGTACTAATTTCTTTTTTTTCATTGTACCAAACTTTATTCTAATTTTCCAATTTGTTACTCAACGATCAGTGCTAATATCTTAACACCTTCCTTCAAGCTGTCCAAATCAGTTTCAGAAGATTTGTTAAGTATTTTAATACCATATTTGTCTGATTCTGATAATTAAAAATAACAGTTTTGAAACATATTTGTTACACTCTGCTGGATGTGTAGATATTGCAAACAGATGGAAGATTATCATAAAATTGACATATTTTGAACACCTATTCATTTATAAGAACTAAGTATTCATTACTAATTTTTCTTTACTAGCACTAGAAGCATTTCTAAATTCATCCTGAAAGATGTCTATAAGTAATTTAAATTCATACAATTGTAATCTCAATGAGTCATTCTGTCTTGGTTAAATAAATTTACTAATTGTATACTACTGATGATTTCATTGTTATTAAGGGCCATTGTGCATACCAAATACCAAAGGATTTAAGGAACTGTGCTACAAAGTATCTTGTGGTGGTTCCCCATACCTGTTATTTCATCTGATTTGCATTAATTATGGGGAAAAGACACTTACATCTCCATTTCATGGGTAAGAACAGGCTTGTTTTACAGGACATCACTGTTTAAATAATAGAAGTAGGATTTTTTCTTTTGTAAAGATTCATATAAGCTGAAAAAATGTTCCTTATGAGTTTCCCTGAATCATTGGATTTATCTTTAATGAATAATCCAGATGGTGGGATATGGATTTGCTACTTTGAAGAGGCACAACATATATGGTAGGTAATAAGGAAGCTTGTTAGATTACGTAAGTTTATAAAGGCTCCTCACTTATCTTTTGGTTCCAAGAAGGTAAAATAGTAACCTCAAGGTATCACACTCCCAAAATTTTCAATACCTATGAATCACACTTTCTCTGTGATAGACGCTTTCTAAGGAACTCAGTCTCCATCTCTGAGTTTTCATTCTTTTATGGAGAAATTATCATGTATTTAAAACATGTGAAGTTCTGGAAATGCAAAGACAAATAATGAGTCATTCCTGACCTATTGAATATTTCCTAGAACAGGGCAGATCTATTCAAACAAATGATATTGAAAAACTTCAAAAATAACAGTGTTTATTGAATTAAGAAACAGCATGCATTTTAAACAACATGCGTGCATTTTAGCAAGGTTAAAACATGTCCATAATATATTGTACTCCCTTATCAATTAATGTTTATAGAAAATCTGAAAAAAGTCTAGAAACTTCTCAAAACAGTTGAGAATTCAAGCACTTGTCTAGCATGCATATGGTCTGGATTTCAGTCTCCAGGACTACTTAAGCAAATCTAGAAAATATTATGATCATGATATCATATGAAAAATAACATTAAGAAGTTTGTATCTATCATCACTAATACATAGAATGATTGGAAAATGGATAATATGTATACTTAATCTGCTACACAAGTGAGACTATAGAAGGTTTTCTATTTAATAGTATTTTACAATTTTCCACTACATAATTTGTAATATTAAGACACAGACATGAATGAATACAGTAGACATCACAGCTTGAAAATGAACCGTTGCTTTTTCTATACCAAAAACTGCTCTGAATTGAATTTCTAATCATAGAAAAATAAATAATTAAATGGAGTCTTTCATGGGGAGAGACAGGACATTATTCTGTCAACGAAATTGTCATGACACTCCTGACATTTGCTGCTAGCTCACATCCAGCTGCTGGCAGGAGAGCAGCCCTGAGACTATACAGACCCTGCCTATCAGAAGCTGCTTTCAAGTAATAACTGAACATGAGGGGGCAGTAGTGAATCTACTCCTGTTAATGCCTCTCTTCTCTAAGGCATCCTAGTGACTAGGCTTTTCTTAGAAGAACGCCAAGAAACTCCCAGGAATTCACAAGCTATAAGTCTCCTAGTAATAGTGGAAAGGGTGCCAGAACTGGCCTTCTCCGGTAATCAGATTGGTGACTACCTTAATTGTCATCAGAGAGCCTTCATCCAGTAACTGATGGAAGCAGAGATCCACAGCAGAGCACTGAGCTATACTCCAGAAGTCTAGCTGAAGAAAGGGAAAAGGAAATTACAAGGGAGGGGGTGTCAAGATCATGATGGAGAAACCCAACCTAAGCTCTTGGAATATGGGTGACACTGGTGGGATCAGGACCTGTTCCTTGTGCATGAGCTGACATTTTCGAACCTATTCCCCATGCTAGGATGCCTTACCCAGTCTTGATGCAGGGGGAGCAGCTTGACCTGCCTCAACTTGATAAGCAATGCTTTGTTGACTCCCACCGGAGGCCTGCCCCTTTCTGAAAGGGTAGAGGCAAGGTGGGTGGGGCGAATGGCAAGAGAGGAGGAGGGAACAACTGTGTCTGGTATGTAATGTAAAGGAAAAATTTAATAAAAAAAGAGCAATGTACTCTGGAGATATTCAGTCTAAACTTTTCCTTCCCTCTTGAGGTTCACAGGTATCAAGCATATGTTTTTGCACAAAGCTCCTCTCTTCTATTTGCCATTCCTTGCTTTAACTTTTGCCATAACTTTCTAGCAAATATCTCAAACATGTCTTGTCTCATCCTGGCATCTGATTTATACTCTGAAGTTTCTGTTTATACAGGGTTTTATAACTAGTTACTAAAGCAAGTTTTGAGTCATCTATGTCATGTCTTCCTAAGCTGTTACTGTAATGTGCTATGTAAAGTTTCTGATGCAACAT